CAAGAGAAAACAAACCTGCTAATTTTTGACTTGTTTTTTTTTCTTTTAAAGAGTTTTCTCTATAGAATGAATCTGACTATTTGTTGTCTACCATCAATTTCTTCTTTTTTCTATTTCACTTATGGGAGTATTCTTCATAAAGTTTTTGGAAAATCCGATTTCAATTCTTTCTTCAATTCGATACCTCATCGAATTTTTTCGATCTACCCAGGCAGACAACAAAACGGCAAAAACGGCGTTTAAACGTCTCAACATCTCAACTGTTTAAACAGTGTCATTAGTCGCCAAAAACGCGTTAAAACGGTTTATGAAAAATTAACTTTTAACACGTTTTACATGTTTAAACGCTTGGAGTCATTGAATTTGTAACTGTTTTAACGCGTTTTTGGCGACTAATGGTACTGTTTAAACAGTTGAAATAATTTCCGTTGTCACGCCTCTTAATGATCAACAAACGTTTCATCTAAACGTTCAAGCATCAACAATTTATAATTAAAGTCTCTTCCCATTGATAAACTGATCGATTATATTCAAATTATCATTAGCCTAATGTTAAATTTACATATGTTTATCGTTTATACTTTGAAAACAGTACAGAGAATTTCTTTCTCGTCAGTTCGTTTTTATTATGTTAAGAGTAAGTTTACATTTTACTATTTACTTGTTGGCATTTTTTTCTTTTTGTTTTTTCTAATAGTGGAATGAAATGACAAGACGTTAATGCTCTTCGATTAAACCTACATATTTTATCTTTTTTTCCACTATGGAAAAAAACAAAAAGAAAAAAAATGCCAACAAATAAATAGGAAAATGTAAACGTACTCTTAACATAAAAAGAAACGAACTGATGAGATAGAAATTCTCTGCACTGTTTTCAAAGTATAAACTATAAACATATGTCAATTTAACATTAATCTAATGATAATTTGAATATAATCGATCAGTTTATCAACGATAAAAAAACTGAATTATTTACATTCATGTTTCAAATAAGTGACGGATAAGATAGACTGATGAATAGATATAAAATACTACGACTAACACAAGAATTGATGAAAAGGCAAACCACGGACTATCTAACCAGCTTCTAATATAAGAAAACTACAATCGGAACTACTATGGTAGACAGATGTTCTTTTCAAGTATCATTAATAAATTTAACTTCATTGCGATCAAATTCTAAAGTATCAAAGTTTGGAGATATGATATAACTAGAAATGTCATCAATGCACTACGAAATCTCATAAGTATAGTTTGTATTAAGTCGGTCATGAAATAGATTAAGCCACACATATGCACCAGCATGCTATCTGTTTTCCCTGTAGTGACGATATTTCTTTTAAAGCTCATTCATATTTCGATGACTTAAGATTCCCTTTTCATCAAGTAGAAAACTCAACTGTTTCAAACGTCTCATATGTCACACGTACTCGTGATGAACATTCTATATGAAACATTTCAAGTGAGGAATATTTAATGGACCCTGCTATGTTTATCATCTGCGAGCGACTCTTCTAGTTGCATTGTCATCGGTATCGTACATATTATGTCTAAGACAACACTGACCTAGTGAATATTGAAGTATTTTTCACAGAAACTCACTATTAATAGCAATGTAGTAAGTGCCCTATTCTTTCTCTCACTTTGAGCGATTTCCGCAGAAAAGAACGTATCTAATTCGAACATATCCAGTCTTACACAAAAGAAGCATGTGCCCTTACATATAGTGAATTTAACATTAATTTTAAGTATACGTTAGAAATAAAATGGCCTACACAGTTAGGCAAGTACTCTGTGAACGAAACAGAACACAAATGAATTCCAAATGAAAAGAGCGGGCGAATAATCGGACGAGAGAGTGATAAAAGAATGACCTTTTTTTTCCTTTCTCTGTGAACTGAACGGACGGAAAGAAAAGACAGAATGGAAAAAATTTCTTGAAGATGTGGACTGATGATAACTCTATTTCTATGTGACGATGATAACTAGATGAAATATAAGATAGTCAAGTTTTGAAATTTTTATTGAAACAGCTAAACTCTAAGACAGTTTTTAATTATAACCTATATGAGAACACGATAACTTGTTTATTTTGGTTGAACATGATTGTTGCTCATACGTACTTGCACTTTTAAAAGAGAAATAGAGAAGATTATGATTATCATATAATCCAAGGAGGAAGGAATCGTTTATGTTGTTAGTCTGATATATTAACATGTAGTAACATTAATGATGATTTCCTCCTTCCATTTAGTTTTTGAACGTTAACAATATTTGTCTGCACTTATTATAATTTACAAAATACAACTGAGCTAGAATTAATCTTCTTAAATGTGCAGTAAAATAAACCAATATTGGTTAAAATGATGTTATAATATTCATTGAACAAATCAATATAATATTAATTGTCCACGCGCTGATTGTTAAAGATATTCAGTATGAGATATGCTGCATGCTTATTTCTGTTAAGCAAATCAGTTTATGGCAGTTACTCTGCAGCAAATTAAAGATAAACTTTGTTACATTCTCATCAGATATTCACACCGAATAATATTTGTCTTAACGATTTTCAATTAAGAGTGGAATGTTGCTGAGTAGATATACTAACAATACATCAATAAAGAATATGTAAACTCACTAGGCGGAGTATTTTCAGTAAGAACGTTATACTGCTATCGATTTTGACTTCGACTTAATGGCAATAAAAAAGTTTTCTTGGTTTAAAATTCCTACTCACTAATGATAAATATCGAACCTGATCTTTTGCTGTTTATTGGTAAAAGATACATGTTCTAATCATCAGTTGCCTCTTACTAATAAACAACGAGCCGTAAAACTTAATACTTACTAGAAAGTAACCAGATTGATTACGCACTATGTTGTGTTATGTGACTTAGATACATTCAACCAGGTATAACTGTCACAGAGTAGTTAAATTAAAAATTTACTACTCATTAGTAACAGATTAGTAGCGCAGACTATCACCTACTAACAACTAGTTAGTGACGACGTACATTACTTACTGACTGCATAATAATAAAATTTTTGTAGTTTTGATTTTTTTTTGGTAATCGAAGCAAAACGGAAAAATACTGTTAGAACGTTTTTTTTCGAAAAAACGCGAAATTGGGGCGTTTTTAACGGTTTTGTCAAATTTGGTTGAAAATAAACTGTAAAAACGATTTTTTAACGCGTTAAAACGCCTTTCTGGCCGTTTATTGTCTGCCTGGGTAAACCAATTGTCCTCACATGATCAAAAATTCTACACTAGAGAGAATTGCATTTTTCTCTACTATCGAATGAAAGAACCGAAAGGAACTGATAGTATTTGTCATCGCATTTCAGAATGAACCCTGTATATGCATGCAAAAAATGGTGAGAGCTCACATTTTCTTCCTGTTTTTCAACATATTTTTCTCCATAATGATGAACATAGAAAAAAAAGTGAGACTAGGAGAAAGGTTACGTCGGTCAAACACACGGCTAACAAGAAGATGAATATCGAAGAGAGAAACAAAGCGAGAAGGCGAAAAAAAAACAGAAAAAATATGGTTGAATTTTTTTCTTCCTTTTTTTGTGCTCATTCTTTACGACGAATAGTCGGATGCTCGATCAGTGATCTTCTCTACCAGAGATGTGCACCGCGCCTAAAAAGCGAGGCGGAGGCGGCGCGGAAAGGAGGCGGAAGTCCCAAAATCGTGGTAGAGGCGGTCACCGCCAGAGAGCTTTTTGGCGGAGGCGGCGCGGCCGCCTGTGCTTCCTTTTCCAACGAGGCGCGGAGCGGCGCGGTCGCCGGGCGGCCGCCTGGCGGTCCGCCTGATAAGAACTGGAGAAATCCATTATACCAATTTTTTCCAAACTTATTGCACTATAGTATTGCTCAACACATAACGGGCCACTTATTAACATTCAAATATGAACGACAACATAAAATTGAAGGGACCATGAAAGGATGTACTGTTTAACAAGATTTAACTAGACATGTATGTATTGATATAGCATTATTTTTCATGTTAATTTATTTTACACTTGAGTTGCACAAATTCAAGTTTAGAATAACTTTAAAAACTATTGGGTTGGTGGAATGAAAATTGGACACTTGAATATTTTTTTAAAATTTATTTATTTAATAAATAAATAATATTAGTCAATTATATAATCGCCATCATTGTCTACTACTGCTTGCCAACGCGTAGGCAAAGCATGAATGCCTTCAGCATAAAACTCCTTTGGATTTGAGCTGAAAAAGTTGCTAAGATATTCTTGAATATCTTCTTCTACTGTCTAATTTTCATTCCGCCAACCCAATATATTCTTCCGAATGAAATTCATCAAATTCAGATATAGGTCAATTTAATATCGGAATAATTTTTAATGAACATTGCTTAGTAGGCAATCTTTAGATTTAATCAATAAGTATGAAAGTGAGGTGGTAAAAGTTAAAGGTATCTCAAGCAAAATGACTATTAACGATTTAATCTGCTTCCGTTACTTTTCAATGTTTGATGCTTGTTTTTTGTTAAAGATTCCTGATGAAGTCTATGAAAAATTTTCAACTTGGACAAAAAAAGAAACAAAAAGACAGTATCAAGCATCACAATTTGTTTGAAGAAATTCTTGAACTAACATATAAGTTGCGGGTTTTTTTGGTTAATATTCACATAGACAGCCATGATTCTATAAAATCATTAAAAAATTTTACTCAGAGGGGCGGGTGCGGGGCGGCCGCCGGCGGACATATTACCTAGAGAGGCGGACGCGGAGCGGACGTCCCTAAAAATTTTTTTCGGCGGCGCGGCTGCCCAAAAACTGCGCCATGTTTGACATTAGGGCGGGGCAGTCCGCGCGAGCGGCGCGGACCGCCCTCCGCCTCCGCGCGCGCGGTGCACATCTCTGTTCTCTACATCGCTCTCATATTCTTGTTGCTCTAGAGAAAACACACAACTTTTATACTTTTCTTACGTCGTGTGACAGATAACAAACTTATTCTTCAGTCAAAAATGTGCCGTTCATTAGTAAGACAAAAATTTTTCGATCAAAATTTTTCAATTACTATCACCTTCTACCGTCATAGAATAGATAGCGAAAAACTACGTATAATTAAGTGAAAAACTATGATTGATAGAGCTTTGTATAACCATGAACCAGTCAGACAATCGCTATTAGATTATAAAAAATGAATTCATATATTGCCTTATGATTTTATTATGTTGAAATATTCTCTTCAACCTCTAGCGTATCGATTCATTATCGATATTCATTTAATAATCATTATTCGAATAAGTATTAATTGGATAAATTTCTTTTATCATATTCCACAAAGATCGAATATTCAGTTTCATTGAATCTTACAGTTAAAAGATGAACTGTTCTTTTTTTTTGTTCATGAAAAACATCGATCTATTTCTATTTTAGGTACCTTCATCAACATCTAATGACCTTCAAGCAACACTTGATGAGATTGTTGATGAAAAGTATCAGAAATATCAACAATTGAAGATATTAGAAAAAGAAGAACAAAGAATTGTCGATGAAGAGAAGAAGATTCAAGATAAAAAGAAAAAGATCGAAGAAGATAAAAAGAAGATCGAAGAATATATAAAGAAGATCGAAGAAGAAGAGATGATGGTTGAAGAAGACGAAAAAAACGTCATATTAGCTAAGAAGAAGCTTGAAGATGAAAAGAAAAAGAAGCCTGAAGATGAAGAAGTCTCAAGCAGATTGACTATTATTCTCATTATTTGTTCTTGTTAATGTTTTTTTTTATTACATCCATTAAGATTAAACTTTTGATTTAGTTTCAGTTCAAACACGTCAACCAGTAAAAACAACCAGAGCATCGATATTTCTAGGTCAATGACAATCAGAAAATGTTGAAATCGATGGAAAAAGAAGAATTCGATAAAAATATGAATCATTTCGACAATAATCAGAAAGAAAGATCACTTTTAACTAAATAGAGACACAACAATCTTATTATATCATCAGGGCTGGCCCGAGTCAGCAAACATTGGGGGGTTGTCGCGATTTTTTGGGGGGTTGTTTCGGATATTTTTAATGCGAATAAAACTTTTTTCTAACACTAACGAAAAAAAATTCACTTTTGCAGGGTAAAAACGAAAATTTTCGATTATTGGGGGGTTGTCACAACCCCAAAACCCCCTATCGGGCCAGCCCTGTATATCATTTCTTTAATCACAATGATAGATAAATAAATAATCTCTTCATGACCTATTTGATCAGAATATCGTCGATACATTATCGAAATCAGAAAGATCAGAGAAACAAGAATTACATTGAAATAAATAATTATATTTTCTAGATGATCATTTTTTGATAAAAACATCATGCCAATAAATTGATTCAAGTGATATCGTCAAATGAGCAGAAAATTTAGTTAAATATATCGAAAGACATTGAGTTTTATAAAGAGTTGATTTTAGTCCAATTTTCATCGAATAGAAGGTAAAAATGTTTAAAAAGAAATTCACATGCACACTTACAATTAAACCATCGAATTTCCGTTGATTATTCTCATTAAGATAATAACAATCAGATGTATAAAGACAAATCTGATAATCTAATGTAAAATTAAATCGTTTATTGATCACTGATTATTGAACAATTGTTGAATTTCGAACAAAGATTTCTCAATTCACTAACATTTGGTTCTTTTAGACTAAAACAATAACGCTTTGATGATCGAGTGTTTGTTCATTATCAAGAAAATATCTTGTTTTCTCTATCAGACTATATTGAAAGAAAGTTTCTTAGAGCTTACTATACGGAATTAAAGTGTCGCTGCCCACTACTTTTGGTATGCCCTAAGTATTATAGTATTCAAAAAGAATACTTGTTTAAGATATTTCCACACTAAAATATTGTTTTTGTCAAGAATAACTATCTCTAAAAGACTTCTGATACATATACAAAAATAAAAATTCAAAAGTCTTTTTTTAAAATCTTTTCGTTTTCTTGTTGAATTGACATTTCTATAATTAAAGTAACGAAGAAATTCATTATTCTTAAAGTTCTGCTTAGATTATTTAATCTTTTAATTCTGTTTACTATTTGACTTGAAAATTGTAGCACAAAAACTTTATTAGGACAGTTTTTATGCTTTTGCTCTTTTATAACTTTAATGATTTCTCTCGTCTATTAATTAAAATGCACGATCTATGTTAGATATCTGCATCGATTCTCATTATTAATTTAAACCAGTCGATATGTCGAACGTAAACAAGATATTATTTGTTAATGTGATATGATTGTTGACTTTAATATAGTGTTACCGATTAGAAAAGGCCACTTAATAAGAGTTAAGTGTCTAAAATAAGAGTCAAAATTATCAATAAAATTATTATGTGTAATATCAAGTTGTATATATGTGAAGATTATTTGTATTATCATCATGATTTTAACTTAAATAATGACAGATATTAATAATAAAAGTCGTATAACATCTAATTGAATCAAACAAAAATATTCAAAATGATGTATTATTGTTAAAAAAACACAACTCTTACACTGAATCAAATTTTCTGTGTATTCTAAATTTGTTGGTTTGAAAAATGGTTTTGTTTACTTAGATGTTTTCAGATTAGTTTTTTAATTAATTTTAGTCTAAAATCTTAGAAATTCAACAAAATGTCCAGCGAATATTTAATACGTATTAATGGCACATGTTTTTCATTTTCTATACATCTAGCCGATTTGAAAAATGTCATTCAATAGAATTTATAATGGAAATGTGTTTGATAAAATGATAATAGAAAAATTTCAAGACAAAGTTTATGAATGGCTTTTTTTTGTCTCTGACTTCATACATATTTCTTAAAGAATTAGATTCTCTGATATTTAAGTGGCAGTTATCATCATTTATCTGCATTAAACGCACTTTATTATTTATATCTAATCACTGCAAAATAAGTGACTTATTATTTATTAGACATAAAAGCTACAACATTTAATAAAGCAAAAGGGCATAGCCTATTCTAATAAAGAAAATATTTCATGTCATATACGCAACAATAACCTTAATTGAGAAGAACTGTTATGGACCCTAAAATGTAACAGAAGAAGTTATCTCATCTGAACAGACAGTGTGTGAAACATGTTCTAAAAGGAATGTTGAAGTATAGAGATAGAAATTCGGACTCGTTCCCACAGATAGAACAGACATCTAAGCAACGGTTCACCAGAGACATCACTGTAAGAATAAAAGCATGTAATAATAAACCCTACAAAAAAGATTTATTAATCTCCTAAACCTTTCATCAAATTTTCATAACCCCTTTTAAGGTTTATGCTAATTTCATAAATTCTTTAAAAATTTATTACTCTATGGTTTTTTTTAACATTGATGACAGACATCTTAACAACCATACACTACAGACGTAACGGACACGACCATAGAAACGTCAAAGATCCTATAATTGATGCTTTAGCAACGCTCTCTCTCCGTCCAGCCGTCTTTCTACTGCATCAGACATCATGTATGAATACCGTCTTGTTCTAAAAGTTGAACTACCGCCTTATTGCATTTCTGGAAGGTTAAGTAAAAGGACGATAAAGAAATGTGCTCCAAAATAGATCAACTAAAATAACCTTCTGTGATTAGCAATAGCAGTTGCATCGTGTTTCACATTGAAATTACACACGGGCTGCGCTAACAACTTTTCTATATGAAGGCAAAATGTGGAAACAAACTTCATATCTACATTTATTCAAAAGAAAATGAATAAATTATTTTTTAATTGTCTTAGATTGTTTATGTTTCTTGTAATGTTAAATAGTAAAATCGAGTTTCTTTTAAAAATATTCTATTGGTTTGTTTTTAAAAAAACGGCAGTCTTTTCGTTTTTTCGGTATATTAACCATTTTTCAAATAAACAAACGTTTGTTTAAACTAACAGCGTATATCGTATCATATCTGTAGAAAGAAAAATAAAGAGTTCTTGTGATTTAAATTATATGCAACTTCATCAAACGAACAAGAATACATCTCGAATTAAGATATATTTTTATTCGGTCGAGTTCATAAACCAAAAGCTTAACACTGAGATACTTTATGTTTCAAGTTTTCATCATTCGAATAGGAAAATTTTTCAATATTTTCGATGAATCTAGTCATACCACAGCAGAGACTTCTCCGGTCGATTTTCAAATTTACTAATAAATAATTTTTCCGCAGAGATTCTTCAATAAAACTAGTCTATTGTGAAAGTTTCATATTGCGTTAGCATGCCTTTTTCTTCTTGATGAATAATATATATTCTGTGTATCAAAAGACAACTGATATGAAGCACAATTTTTTTCAAGAAATTTTCCGTAAGGCAAAAGTAACTGGTTTCATAGATAATAATTCATTAGTTTCATTATATTTTTATCTACATACAGATTTTGTACTAGAAAATTTGAAAAATTGATTTTAAGCATAAAGTTTTATTGAATATTGCAGCTGTTATATGGGCAAATACATTAGGTCTTGGATATGCCACAAAGAAAGTGTATACGTTAGTTAAGCGAAAATCAACATCGTCTTTCTTATGGATGACGTGATATTTCGTGATCTTTCATCTCTGGTGCAAAATGATTATTTTGTAAAAATAATTCTTTTAAAAGAAGATTCCTGGTTAGTAATACTAGGCTTAAGTAGAACTACCTTTGTTTTGATTTTTTTCTTTGAATTTTCATCATATTTTTCTCCTTCAATAAATTCATTATCTTGCTGTTTGCATATTCGATTGAGAAGAATAATCTTCTAATTGTAATTGTCAATTATCTATGTATGCATGAAAAAAAAACAGGAAGTTGAAGAATGTGTTATGATTGTGGCTAGGGGAATGAAGATAGTTTTAAGTCTGTTATTGCATTTTATGTATTTAGATAATATGATTCAACATGTAATAGAAGTCGTCATTTGTGAATGAATTAACACATTCGCACAACGATGTGACCACCAATAGATGATCATCCATAGAAACCAAGAGTGTCACGTCCTCGAAATCGTTAAAAAATTGGCGATTAATCGTGAGCTGAAACGCGATAAATCGAAGATTGTTGTGATGAATCATAGTTTTATGATCGATGATTATGTTTAGTTATATCAATAATACAAATGATTTTGTTTATATAAACTTGTTTCCTACTTTTATACTGAGAAGCTTATATTACTAATTTATAATAATATTTTTATTAAAAAACTGATTCTTTACTTTATTATACATGAATAAAACATGTAATCAACATTTTAAAATATCGATGCAGCATGCAATGCACATAGTTAAATGAAAATATAATCGACAAAGAAAAAAAACAACATTCATATGTTCAAATGGATGTTTAAAACTGAGTTTTTCTCTGAAGTTACTGAGCACATATTCGTTTTTTGTTAATAAATTAAATGTACACAACAGAGTGAAGATTAGAAATTGTAATTAAATAGCAGAACTAACAGAATGAGGATAGAAGAAGTCATGTTATAGAAGAAAGAGAAATTTTTCAACTTTTTATTAATCTAGGATTGAATGATTTATCTAAAACTGTATCTAAAAATTGAAAAATTACTCGATCTCAAAACATATTCGAAATTATCTATATTATCAAAAACATCTTTTGATGTAAATGAATGTGAATTCGATGTCTTGTTCGATCATTTTCTAAAATTGTTCAATATCGTTAATGTGATAGTTACAAGTGAATGTATTGAGTTCAGAGTACTCTTTGATCAAAAGCTTTGATTAATATTAATCCATAAATCAACATAGGAATTTCAGTTCTTTTTTTTTTCTTATGAATATGATAAAATGTATCTTACTGGCGTCATATTATAGACAAAGACAGAAGCATATGTTTAACGTAAGATTAAATCGGATTAGAAACTAAATATCATTCAATTAGATAGACAACAATAATGATTAATTTATTAAAGTTTTTTATAACTAGTTATATAATAATAGGATAAGAAAACAACATCATTTTCTCATGATAATATTCTTTACCATCTATTTCAACAATATATATTTTGTCCGTATCTCAACTTATTTTCATGAATACGTGTTTATCGATCGCGCATAATAGACTAAGTTTTAATAAAAATAGAATTAAAGCAGAGCAGGGTCAAGAAGTTGAAATTTTGAATTTAATATGATGTACCATATAAATTAATATACATAAAATTTGTCGAGAGACTAACAATAGAGACTTCGCTCTTGAATTCTTCTGAAAATCTCCAAAGTTGTTTGAAGTCTACTGTTTTCTCGTCGTTATGCTCTTCATGAGACGCTTTTTTTGTCTAAATCAATCATTTAGAAAAGATGTTGCATTGAAAACCATATAGATTTCGAACGAAAAATTCCTGTTGTCGTAGCCTTTGCTTTCATTTATCAAAACATAAAATACCTCAAGTGATTCTAAACATTGTATTTTGAACTTCAACCTCATGCATGTATGTTAACGTATCGTACGAGGAACAAACAACAGAAACTATAGTCTTGAAGTCTTATGAAGTTCTATAAAGTCTCATTAAGTGTTTGCAATCTCTTGGAGTTCATCGAGCTTTGCTGTTTCTTCTTGAAATTTTATTATAGTATCCTACTGTAAATTAAAATGTAATATTCGAAAATTCAAACAACTTATCCTTGTGCTTTATCTGCATAGGATTGACCAAGAGTGTTGTCTACATTAATAAAAATATAAAAATAAGAAGATATTTTACTATTATTTTATTACAGATTAGAGATAGTGACCATGATTATTTATACAAAGTCTACTTCTTTCTAAGCATTAGTTAAAAATTTTCGCGAACTTTTTTTCTAAAACTTTTTTGGTTACCTTGGAAACCATATAAGTAAATCATGTTTCATTTATTTAACCAGTTAAACTATATTCGACGTAATCATATAATCGACGACTAGAGAGTCTTGAGTCTGATCAATATGGTGAATGTGACTTTATATTAAAGCCTTCTTCTGCTGAATAATAAATAACTTCGGATGACTATGAAATCAAGAATGATCGCCAAGCGTTTTTGTGCTTTTGGCATGTGGTGTCACTGTTTGTTTCCATATTTTGTTAAGAGAAAACTTCAGACAATTTTCAAAATCGTTATTGTAATTCATAGTCTTGCCTTTCTCTATATAATATGTAAGAACATGACCATTGTATGTAAAGAGTATAGGAAATAAACCTTTCGGTTCGAAACTATCCTGGCGACCAATAGTCATTAGCAAGCCATATTCATTAATCTAGTTAGTATTAGTTGACTTGTGGCTAACCTGTCTATATTAAATCCATGTCTGATGTTCTGTAATATCATCGTACAATCGTCATAACCTATCAAAATATATCGCAGAATTTTCGCTAGAAATCCTAATCTATTCTTATTTGTGGGTAGCATTAAGTTGATGACCGATCTAACATCGTGTGAATTTTCTCACGTCTAGATAATCTTGGATAATACGTTTCAATATTCTAAAATAGAAAGAAGACTTAGCTGTAATATGATTTTAAGCTCAATATGAATCCTTATGGATAACCGCCCATATCAGCTCATTAGTTATACTCGTAAGCTCGAAACCCTGACGCCTAAATCGACATCCATTATTTACATCTTCTCTTCTTTCATGTAAATGCACCCTCCATCTTGTAGCTATTGGATGTGATAGAATGTTAAGTCACAATGTTGCTGTAAGTTCATCATAAATGGTCTATGCATCTATTCCCAAAATAATCCGAATTTCAATGTAATATTGTTGGACTTCAGTTTCTATAATTTTTAAAATTTGTTTTTGGTTGTAATGGAACTTTATATGAAAGAATATTAGAAGTAAAAGCAAAATATAATTACTATATATATTATGATAGACACAACATGCTATTATTTATTCATACAACAGATTCTTAAAAGTTAACTTTTTTATAAAATCGTCAGCAACGTTGCCAGAACTTTTGCTCAGAGCTAAGTATCTGGAAATAAAACAAATCTCCATCAACATAAGAGAGAGTCCTACGAAAAAGTATTTCGATAAACAAAAACGAACTTATCATAGATAATAAATTGACCTAGAGAGTGTAGATCCGCACTTCGATAACAAATTGAAAAAACAGTAAGTGTATTCATTGAAGAAAATATTATTGCCTAGATTTATTTATATGCAAAAAAGAATAATTTACAAGTGTTATATGTAAAAAGTATGCATGCATTTTTTTTTTTATTGGATTTCGAATATTTTCTTCAAATATAAACTTCAAAATGAATGCAACAACATCTCCAACTTTAACTCATTCTTTAGTTTTTGTTAAATCAGCGAGGAAAGCTTCTGATTCTCATGAAAATGTTATCAAAGAAAATACGCAAGATTATGTGAAACGTATTGTAAACACATCATCTGCCAAAAAAGAAGGAAGAATTATCACCTCAAACAATAATACTTTGTACTATACGTAGTCGATACAAAGGTTTTCGAATGCGTCGTAATTTATTTATTATATTATGTATTGCTATCATTTTGCTTACAATACTTATTGGAGTAATAATTGTATTCTATGCAATTGTCCCAGTCATAGTTCGTTCTACGATTGAAAAAGCTGAATTATCATTTCGTTCAATTAATATTGAAGATATTGAAAATGATCGTTTCCGTCTACGCGCCGAATTAGAATTATTACGCACTGGATCAATTGCTGGTACAATACTTGCACCACTTTTGATTAATGTAGACAATATTGGAACTGTAAGAAATGATAAATCAATTTCTATTGATGGTTATCCTGATCTTCCAACTATAGGTGCAGTTGATTCTCCATTTATTGTTTCTGATTTAGAAGTTTTTCATAAATTCTCTGATTCTCTTATTTTTGAAGCAAATGTTACATGGCATTTAACAGTAAAAGCATCTATACAACCTATATCGAGTGCTATGCCTATTTATTTTAATATTCCATTTAACAAACAAGTAAAACTTAATGCTTTAAATAGTCTTCAAAATGTAAGTATTAAATCAATAAGTCTTGGTTATGTTGAATCTATTAATAATAATACAACTCCACATCCAGGTATAAATGCAATACCATTTTCTGGTGAACTTCAATCAAAATCTTCTGAATCTTATAATGCTCTTTCGACAGTTATACAAAATTTTATTACTAGAAAAACAAGTCAAGTTGAAGCATTATAGCTGGTTCGAATGCAACTTCATATTCTTTACTCGCAGGTGATATGGAAGGTTCTTCATTAAGCGTTCAAATACCTCCATTTGGTGAACAACTTATTTCTTTATTAATATTTAAATCTATGTCACTTGTTCCATCGACTAATAGAAAACAAGTAACACTCTCAGCTTTGATCATTATTCAAATGAATTCACCACTTGGCCATCGATCTCCACTTAATATTCAATCAATGGATATGAATGTTCATCTTTTCTACGAAGAAAATTCTGTTGGTATGCTTGATTTTTCTCAAGTTCCAATGCAAAAACTCAATGAAAATACATATCAAACACAATTTACTGATAAATGTTTAATACTTAGTGATAGAGGTAAAACATAAAAAATTTGCTGAACATTTTATTGATGCTAATGAAATTAATCCAATTAATTTTCGTATTGTTAGTCTTGCTTCTATTAAAGGCTCATTCGCACTTGGTTCATTGAGTATTAGTGAAATTATTGTCGATAATAATATAACATTAGTTGGTCTTGCAGGTTTTAATAACGTTTGTGTTCACGATATATCTGTTGATGGTGAAGAAGGCACTGCTCTTCAACTTTCTATTAATGTGACCATCGGTAACCCTGGTGTAACTGACATTAAACTACAAAACTTTACATTTAATATAGTCGATAGTGATAATGAGACAGTCCTTGGTCAAATACCTATCAATATATTATCTTTACCATCAGGAAACAACATTATGACACTCACTGGGTTAGTTCATTGTTTGTTTTGTTTTACATTAGGAACCTTCCCATAGAAGACGTTTAGATGAAGGCGGGGAAGGAAAGAGGAAGCGAAGAATCCAACATTTCTGGGCATCAAGACTTTTACTATGAGTATTTTCATTTTTTTCATAGAACCTTCTGCGAAATTCTGAAGCTTACAAGGAAGTCTCTTCATCTGTCCTCTTCAGATGTCAATGCTTTCCTTTGTTTGGACATACTACAGACTTTTATAATTAAAATCCTAAAAGGATTTTGGTAACTATTAATATTTGTGTAAGTTATCGGATTCTTTAATATGCATATTTTCTAGATGTTCAAGGTTTTCGGAAAAATTGTACTTTCAAATTTTGGTCTGAAATATTGTGCATATAGAGAACGTAGTTGAATTAGTTTTTCATTAAAAAAAACTCGAAAGTTTGCAACAAAGTTTCCACAATATGTAAAGTTTTCAAAAAATGGATGTTGTATATACTACTCACGGAAAAGGATCTTATCTTTTAAGTGTCATATATCGAAGAGAATTGGTTGAAAACTTTTGAATTTTTTATGAAAGCTAGTCTAGTTAAGTTGTCTCTATTCGCACATCTTCAGATCAAAATTTGATAGCTCAATCAAATATCAATAGGAACCAACATTCTTTTAGGCTTTTTATTAAAATACTATTTAGTGTCTATAGACAAGAAAATAATCATTAAAATCGAAAGGAATATCAAGATTATACTATATGAACAAATAGTTATTTTCTCTAACAATAATATGAACATTAATAGCTTTTCGAGTGCCATTGTTGTTGAACTTGATTTTTTGTTTCGACATTTGTCTAATCATTAATATAAAATTTATTGTGTCTTTTTTTGTAGAAATGTTCCAAGGTCACTTAGATTTAGAAGGAAGGAGACTACTGAGAAGGTAAGTTTCACGATATTGGGAGGAGACGAGTCAACTTTTGTTATTGGTATTGATAATCCAAAAAACCAAAGAAAATCGTTTAATTTCACTGGGAAAGACCGAAAATTTTTCAAAATTGGTAGATCACCTTCGTTCGCTCAGAACAATACTGTTCTCTTGATATCCAATATCCATCCATACATTTCTATTTTGGATATATTTATTTAATAAAAAAAAGAAGCAGCATATTTAAACAATTAGATCTTTCTCGAAAGTTTTTCTTTTGTATATGGACCGTCTAGAAAGAAATCAATGAAACTGAACAAATCTAGACAGACAGAAGTTAAGAGGGAATTGATAAAAAAAAATATGATTTTTCTTAGACATTCTTGATGAATAATCTCTTATTCTAATCAGTTTTCTTCATGCTTATTGTAGTCTGCTTGCTGCATTAAGCGAAAAAGATTTGCCTGCTGTTGGTAAATTATTCTCTGCATATCTTAATATTCAAACACAATCAATAACACTTTTTCATGAACTATCTACTAATGAGCACAATGCTACTGCTATGAATTTAACAATAAGTAGTCTATCAATGAAATCAAATCTTGATGGTATAGAAGCAAAATTAATTCAACGAATTGAAGTTCTTAATTTTGGTATTGAATTTGATTCAATTATTGTTAATAAAGTTTGCATAACTGGTCAATAATCAGTTTTATTTCAATTACTATCTAATGTTCATATGACACTTGAAGAATTATAACAACTAGTATTGATTATATAATGCGTTTAAATAATGGATTTCATATAGATCAAATGATTCTTTAGGATACATCTGTTGAACATAATCAAATAACAAATGAACTTTTAATGAAATTTGATAAACAAGAACTGATAGTTATTAATGAAACAGCGGTTTCAAAATTTGCTGCTAATCTTGTTCTAAAAAATAATGTATCAATTATGATTGAAGGTTCAGCTTCAGCACTTGCTAAAGTTATTATAGGAAATATCACTATAACTAATATTTCTGTTAGTGATACTTTTGATCTTATTGGTTATGATCGATTTGATAGTGAACTTTTAACTATTGATGAAATCGATTTAATTAAAACATTATCATCTCATGAACTTTCTCTTAGTGTGAGAGCAAAAGTTAATAATCCTTCTGTGCTTTATATTCTTAATGGTGGTTGTCTTTCACTTGATTTACGTGAATTGACAAGCGGCATATCACTTGGCTTAGTTATCATCGATTCATTTTATCTTGCAACGCAAAGTAATAGTACTTAATTGAATACTGAAGGTAGTTTTGTAATAACGAAATACAGTTCTGCTATAGCTGAACAATTTGTTTCACATATGATTTCTGTCCTAGATCATGACGTAGAATGACGTGGTTTATTACCGAATAATTCAATAGGTACATCTATTACTTTACTTTCAATGGCTATTTCTGATTTACGTATTCATACACGAGTTCTTGGCCTTAATGCCAAGAGAACACTTGTTCGATAAGTTCAACTTAAAAAAATTAACTGCTTTACAACTAATAGATATTCCAAGCGGTACTATCAGAACACTTAGATCATGTATTCAACTTACAAATCCTTTTAGTGTACCTTTAGTTATAACAGGCATGAACATAAGAGTTGATTTTGGTCCTATTATCGATCCAGATGTACCAGTTGGCACTGTCACTCATAGTTCATGTATTATCATCGGTGCTTGGAAAGATATTATAACACACTATATCGATGTCAAGAGTACAGTTAAATTAAAAACAATGGTTGCGCTTGCGGGTCCTCTAGTAGTAGGCTCTTTTTCTTTATCTCTATCAGGTTTTATTAATGTTACGATTGATAATCAATTTAATCTAATTCAACTTCCACTTATATTAGTTAATATATCTACTGCTCAAGAATCCTCGATGTAGTTAATATGATATAATAACGTTATTGTTTTTTTTGTTGATTTTAATTTGAAAAATAATGTAAAATGAAATATTTTGATTTTGTTTTATTTTTATTTCAAGAAAAGAATTTTTTTAATAAACCATAAAATTAATTAATTACGAAAAATATATCCTTTATTCAGGCATTGAAATACAATGTTGGAAATATACATATATGTATGTTTTCAAATACTTATAGTACGATGAGAAATGAATAATATCAAATCTATTATTCAACTATTATAAATCACACTAAAAAACAATACATATACCATTCAATAGAACCAAATAATACTCTTAATCATCCGCGATTTTTTTTCTTTAATACTTTTATTCGCAATTATTTCAACTATTGATTATATACTTTCATCTACGAAACAAATGTTTATTTCACCTGTTACTTGTTTATTTTCTTAAAAATTACTATTCAATTTTAATATACTTGTGTATCCCTACAACGTGAACGATTGTTTTCCTGGTCGAAATATTGTTATAACTGAAAATGGTTGGATGAAATCTTTATCAAACATAAAAAAATGATGAACGTGTGCTTGTTATGAATAAGGAAAATAAATTAATTTATGAACCTATTGAAGGATTTCTTTATTTGAAACGAAATGGATTATTTGATTACTTTATTAGTAAAGATACAAATCGATGATCATAAAAATATTACAACATCTTTATTTATATAACCACATCATTTAATATTCTTAGCAAATGATACAGAATTATAATCTGCAATATTTTGCTGGTTAACTTCATGTTGGTGATCGTATAAAATTTTTTATAAAAATCAAATTATATTAGCTAAAATTCAAAATATTTATTTTGCAACACAAGAAGATTATTATGCACAATTAACACTATCAGGTACAATTATAATTTATAAAGTTTTAGTTTCAAATTATGCAAAAGTTAATAATCATCATTTATCACATTATATTATACAAATATATCGAAGATGAATTTATCTATTTGCATCAAATGAATAATAATGACAATATTCATTGAATATTAAGATTAATTGAAAAATTTGATCAAACTTCAATGTTTAATGGTATATTTGAGTTGCTTGATTTTATTTGAATGAATCATATGATTTTTTTCCAATGAAATTTTTAAAAAATATTTTTAATAAAACTTCTATCATTTAAAATATTTCACTTGAAATCAATCATCGTTCACTAAGTACTAAATCACTTAACATAAGTATGGTAAAGTACTTTCTATTGAAAAAATTATTTTCTACAATGAATATTTAGATATAGAAAGATAATATTACCTTTCAATGTCAATTCATGTGAACATATAGTAAATTATTTACCTTTAAAATGAAACATAATTATCTTTGAAGAAAAAATCTCTCAAATGTATTTGATATTATGCAACGAATGGTAATAGCATATTTAATATATTTGTTTTTAGATTTTACTTTCGCTTTATCGAGTTTCTATTGCAATCCACTAAGACATTAATATATAACATGCTGGTTACATGAATTTTGTTGTTTGAAAAACAAGAAAAAAGAGAATCTGTTTTTTTTTGCTTTTTTCTTTTTTTCTTTCTCTGAATGTCTCGTCATATTTTGCCTATCATCGGAATGATGATTATCGTCATTTCAACCGTGCTCAATCTCGGCCGACATGTTACCATCAAAAAAAAACACCCACGTCTTCTCATTGTCAATAGTTGCAAGAACAGAAATATCGAAAAACAAATTATGTTTTTTTCGGCCTAATCTCTACGATGTTCTGATAAAAAAAGAAATCCGTAATTTAATCAATGAATTGTGTAGCTACTATGGCAAGGAAAACCTTCTTAGTTAAACCACGAATACACGCATTTTTGATAGAAGGAAATGATAGTTCATCATTAGAAGAAAACGAGGAAGAAGAAAAAAAAATATAGAGATGAAGAGAAAAAAAAACCCGAGCAACCAAAAAAAAAGGAAAATAACATGATGCTCATTGTGATAGAAGTAGAATCGAGATAAAGAAACGGGAACAAACATCACCCGTGGAATACAAACGTTTGATCAACAAGCTCGTAAGTTAATGCTCAATAACTATTGTCAGAAAATTAATTGCAAAGAAAATTCTGTATTTGTCAATAGGAAAAAAAAATGAACTAGCATTAAAAAACAATGGTGTGTTTCTTTTCTAAATAACGCATGAATAATGTTATCTTTCTAGAGTACTTAACCACTTTCTTTTTCTATTGGCTTACCCTACTTCAATTAACTTCCTTTTTTTTTCAAAATAAGAGACATCCGGTTGAAAGATACTATTCATTCGAATATATAGAAAAACATAAAGAAATGACTATGTAAATTGTTATTTTTGTTTTGTTCATGGTTGTTTTCGATGATCATATATATGACGTATTTATTTTAGAAAATGGTGGTACATCTTGGTGGTCTTGCGGCCGTTATTTTTTTTTATGTTCTTATCTTACTTGTTGGAATATGGGCTGGACGAAAACAAAAATCAACTGAAAGGTCGCCCGATACAGAAGAGATTATGTTAGCAGGAAGGAACATTGGTTTACTAGTTGGAATATTTACAATGACAGCAACATGGGTTGGTGGTGCATACATTAATGGTACTGCTGAACAAGTTTTTTCTACGGGTCTTCTCGCATGTCAAGCACCATTAGGTTATGCTATTAGTTTAGTTGTTGGTGGATTATTATTTGCACGACCAATGCGTAATGCAGGTTATGTTACAATGCTTGATCCATTTCAACGTAAATATGGTCAACGAATGGGTGGATTATTATTTATACCGGCATTATTAGGAGAAGTATTTTGGTCAGCAGCTATTCTATCAGCACTAGGAGCAACAATTAGTGTTATTTTTACAGATGTTTCAACGGTAGCATCAATAATTATTTCAGGTAAAATATTCAACAAAATAATATTTAAAAAAAAAGCTCGATTTTTTTTAATGTTTAGCAACGGTAGTTATTATTTATACTCTGTTTGGTGGATTGTATTCAGTAGCTTATACTGATGTTGTTCAACTTGGATTTATTTTTGTTGGTCTTTGGGTAACTATTCCATTTGCTATGAAACATGAAGGTGTCGGTAGTATCGTTGCTACATGGCCCGAATGGCGTGGTCACATAGAAAAATCTCAAATAGTTGAATGGATTGATAGTATGTTATTATTAATTTTTGGTGGCATACCATGGCAGGTAAAATATAATATTATTTTTTCTTATGACAATAAAGAAAGAACTCTTCATGCTTAATTTATTAATAATATTTCTTGTGAAAAATAGTGTGAAAATATATATATTGAATTTTGATAACTTTGTTTAGTTAATAATCAGTGTTTATCCTATATTTTTATTTATTTTAGGTCTATTTTCAGCGAGTTCTCTCAGCTAAAACAGCTAAGAAAGCAATGTATCTTTCATTTTATGCTGCTGTTGGTTGTATTGTATTGGCAATGCCGCCTGTACTAATTGGAGCTATTGCTAAATCTACTAGTTCGTCTAGATTTTTTATATAATATAGTTCAACTGGTATTCATATATCTATTCAATTTCTTTTAGATTGGAATATGACAGATTACGATATAAATAAAGATATAACAGCACCTGAAGCAACGAAATTAATTTTGCCATTAGTTCTTTTACACTTATGCCCAAAATTTATCGCATTTATAGGATTAGGCGCTGTTTCTGCTGCAGTTATGTCAAGTGCTGATTCGAGTGTACTTAGTGCTAGTTCTATGTTTGCTCGAAATGTCTGGAAACTTGTTTTTCGTGATCAAGTATATGATTTAAGAATATTGATTATATTTAAAAGAAACTTTTCTTCTATAATTATTTATAATAGGCATCTGAACGAGAAGTTTTACTTGTAATGCGTATTGGAATACTTCTTGTTGGAATAGGAGCTGCTGGAATTGGTATTCTTGTATCTTCAATTTATGTTCTTTGGTATTTATGTTCAGATCTTGTTTATGTCATACTTTTTCCACAATTACTTTGTGTTGTTTATGTTCCACATTCAAATACATATGGTTCATTAGCAGCATATATAACAGGTTTTCTTTTTCGTATTCTTATTGGTGAATCATCATTAGGTATTCCAAAATTTATTAATTTTGGTTCATATATTCCACCGAAAACTTTATGTATGCTTATAAGTCTTGGAACAACATTAATTATTTCTAAAATAGCTAAAAGTCTTTTTGAAAAACGTATTTTACCACCGAAATATGATATATTTCATTGTCTTGTTGATATACCAAATGAAACTTTACCATTAAAAGAAAGTTCAACTACAGATGAATTACATTATAACATTATTAAACCAACAACAGGACAACAATATTTAACTGAACCAACAATGATGATTAATAATTCTTTTTCACAAAGTCAAGAAATTTTAAATTCATATGGAAAAGATTAATTATAATATTAAATGTATGTATTTATATATATAGTGTTATCCCCACCGGTGTATGTTGTTTTATTGTTTGTTCTTTTTTCTTTTCTTCTTTCCTTACACATATCATTAATTTAATAATTTTAAATCAAGGGTAACCAAAGAAACACTTCTGTGGAGGTGCTTTTATAATTTCTTTTTGTTTTTTTTCATTTTGTGAGTAGTCAGATGACTAATGATTATAAAGCATACATATCAAAATATTATTTATGTATTTGTAATAACATACATATCAGTTCTCCTTCCACTAAAGAATAAAATACATATCAAAAAATGATTCTTCTGCTTTTATTTATTTTTTTTTTGTTTTGCTTTTGTTTGATGTTGTATTTTCCCTGTCATTTTAAAATAAACTATCCCTTTATTCTTCATCTTATGATTAAAAATTTTATTATTTACAAAACAGAAAATATAACATAAAATAAACTGTTCGCAATTTTTATCAGCGAAATTACAATTATGAAATTTTAAAAAATATATTCTATTGATAATTAATTAGCGATATGAATTCTATTAGAAATTTGATCATCATGAATATTTAACATCCAATCATATATTTTATATGATATATGTAAATTATCTTTTGTACATTGTCGATCAAGTAATGTTTTAAGTAATGATTGTTTTGGTTCATCAATATATTTTATTATCCATCTAAAATATGATAAAGAAAAAAAATATACAAAACATATTTGAAAAAAAAAAAAAAATTATTCACCTTAAAACATCAGTTTCTGATCGGCCGAAATCATTTCTATACCAAAGAAATAATTTTGATAGATGAATTTCATTATTTTCTGGTATAATATCAACTTCTGAATTACAATAAGATGTTGTTGCCAAATTTAAAGCTTTTTCGAGATTAGTTGATGAGTAAATAGTAATTTGTGGACATGAACGTGCACCTCGATTGATCGTAAAATGAATACGTGGATCACAACGACGCATGGAATATTTTGCACGAGGATCATTAAATGTAAAATGACGTTGAGTACAATATGAATGTGGTTTATTACCTAGAAAAGAAAAACAAAAATAAATTTAAGAAAATAATTTATATATTTTGAAATTGAACCTCGTAAAATGCCATGTTCAATATCATCTAATGAAAAAATATGTGCACCAATTTTATAGGATGTTGTTTTCCAATATTGATTTAAATCAAGAACAGATTTTGGCATCTCATTTAATAATACAATACCATGAATTGTTAATACATTGTAAAGATCTTAGAAAGATAAAAACAAACAATAACAACAAGATACTTTTTGTTTTCTTTAGTAAAAATATAATAATTAATTATGATAATTACTGATAAATAATGTTTTACGTTCATTTTCTGTGACATTGTCAAGACTAATTGTTGTCAAATGTTTCGTTATTTCACATAAATCATTATATATATTACTTGTACGCAATTGGCAATAGTTAACTAGACGACCAGATGGATCAATAAACATGGATTTTAGACTAAAACAAGAAGAAATATAAAGATAATTAACAATAAAAGAATGTTTTCTATTTATTTTACTTTAACATTATTTTCTGTAAATCAATTGAAAATTCTACAGTATTATAAACATTTTTTGTTTTTAATTCATTTTCATCTTTGATTGTTGTACCTTCTGTTATTATAGATTTATTTATAGTTAAATTTTCTAATTGTGACCAATTAAGTACATTAAGTAAATATATATTTTCAATTTCATCAGAAGATGTTGTCGAACACATTCCATTGACTACTTTGATTCGATCTAATTTGATCATAGATAAATAAAAGACAACAGTCAATGACATCGAGAAAATAGTAAAAGTAATCTTGATTTTCTTTTTTTTATTCTCACTGTTGTTGTCCATCAAAACAAAACTCTCATCAACATGAACATCAATATGTTCTTTTTTCGGATAAAAATTAAAAGACTCTTATTATTCCTCTTACTACAAATCAAATCAAATCAATATTAAACAATAATCGAAATAAAGTTCGGACAAAAAAAAAACACATCAAGATGAAATTCTTCACGGATTTCCGTTATAAATGTACACGATATGAAGATATATCACATTAGTAATGTAACAGCATGACATGAATAATTATACTAGTGTGCGTGTTTTATATAAGAAAAAAAAAAGACTTTTATCCAATTAGTCAACATGTTGAGATCTCAAAAAGCAGATGGAGAGAAAGAGAAATAAATGTTAATGACATTTCCATTTATATATATATATATGATTGCGTCGGTCATACCAAAAGAAAAAGAATTCTTCAACGACTTATAAATACAGGTATTCATCACGAATATTTATAGTGGTTCAATCCTCGTTTTCAACATAATCGAAAGCATTTTATTACACATGGACAACTCATTAATATAAGAAAACAGTAAATGTTGATACTTAGATGATAATCGAATACATATAACACGCTTGACTTATTTTCTCATATGAAAATAAAAATAAAAGAATAATGCTTTTCAATATACTTCTTTGAAAAATCATTCTAATGTAAGTTTCATTCTGCATAATGATGTTACACTTCAAATAATAGTAAACAACAACAAGGAAACGAAAAGAATAATAGAAAGAAAAAGAAGACATAAATCAACTAATCGAATTGGCGTAGATCAATTTTTAGTTATTTATATACAGTGTAATATAATGAAAATAGATGGATGTCAGAAAAAAATTTGACAAAAAATATTATGTGCAAGAAACAACAACTAATCAAAGAAACTTGTCATAACAAGTTTTAATCATGTTTTCACAAAAAAAAAACATATGAAAAAAAAATAACTGCATGTATACTTACAAAAAGGTCTTGTACTATTTGATCGATTAGAACGGGACATTTTTGTAAACACTTTGTTCTTTTTTTTTTATTAATTTGACTTTAGTATTCAATGTTTTCTTTTCTTTTTGTCTTTATTGTTAATAAGTTTCCATCAATAAGTAGTCTTGAAACGTCAACTATTCTGCGAACATTCAATGCACTCGAAATCGTTTAAATAATACCCGAGCGTTCCATATAGAGAAAAAACTTCTTTTTATATAGAGAGAAAATCCAATGACAGCACTTCTTTTTATTTTTTTTCTCCATATTTATCTATTTGCTAGTTTCTCTCTCTCTCTCTCCCTCCCCCTTCTCTCTTGGCGTTATGATGCTGATCACCATCACCTTTTTTCTTATTCGCCTTTGGCTGCACTGTTATTGACTGTAACGAATGTCGTCTTGAGCATGTAGGCAGATGATAGACGGGCGGAAAATGAGCGCACTATACGATCGAATAAACTTCAGGATGGCAGTATACAAGAAGGACGGAAAAGGATGAGCACATCGATAAGAGATCTGATGAGAAAAAAAAAGAATGAAAGAAGAGCCGAGATGGATGTCAACCAAATCAATTTCATTCTTATGTTGTTCATCGTTTGACTAATCATTGTCATCATCAATATCGAACATCGACGATGCATATTATTATAATTATGATTATAACAAACAAATATACATGTACATAAAAATCAGGAGATGAAAAAACCAAATGATAAAATCTTCATGTAAACATTTATATGGATTCATTAGTGAACAGATATGAAGGTCATATATTATTCGTTCTTAATAGAGACGATATAGTTCATTGTTAAAAACAAATTTAGCATTATATCTAGTGAGTGAAAAAAGAAACACGTGTAAGTTTTTACAAGGCAAGAACATTTTGTTTCTTTTTCTATATTTTTTAATGAAAATGGAATTTGATGAATGAATAGTATGATTCTTAGAAATGACTTTTTATACTTTATGTCATATGAATGAACATCTCTTTTTTAAATGATGAAAAACCAAAAAAGAAATCTCTAGAGAAAAGTATCGAGTCTTGACGTTTCAATCGAATATTAAATTTGTCCTTCATGGCTATAATCTAGTTTTAGTTCTCTTGCTGACTTTTTTTTTTCCTTGAAACCAATAATAAAAATAGCGATTAATGATGGATTAATTTTCAATTTATCTTTATCTTCGCAGAAATATAAATTTAATTGTCGTGTAATTCAATCAAACAATAAATAGCAAAGCGACTGTCTTGCAAAACAGATAGACTATTGATTATAAAAGACTCATAAAGGCAGTTTTTGTTTCTTTATGTTTATATGTCATTTAAGTAGAACAAATAATCTTTAAACGGATTTTAAGTAAGATAAAAACATCGAACTATTGTTCAATCACACGTAAACGCTTAAAATACACGTATATTTACAAGACATTTCCGGAAATTAATATTCAATTGCAATATATATTTTTTAAGCACTTGTCTATTATTCACAAATATTCAATTGATTTAATATCTTTACAATGACTATATATAAGTGCATGATGAAAATCTATCCGAAGAGGTGCACGTCTCGAATACATGCATGGAAAAATAATTTTATTTAGTTTTCGAAGTAAAACATGCAAGACACTTATCTGGGGACATAAGTGCATCTATTACATTTATACATATATAATTGTAAGTGTTCATTGTAATGTATTTTTGAAGATGAACAGAATTTCGTAAAATTCTGCATATCAATACAAAAAAAAAAGTTGTATTCATGAAAACTATTACTAAAGTGATTCTGTGTCTAAATGCAAGGTTTTACTATGTTGTAATGTGCACGATATTACATGCAAGAGTTTTGTTCTCTGTATGATTATTCATATTTCATTGAAAATCTATTTGTTCTTCAATAATTATATAATATGATTTCAAAAAAATTGTTCTTTTTTTTTTAATTTTACAATAGTTTTTATATCTATGGTCTGATTAGTATCAGATGATCATTAATAGTTCCTGTTTTAATGACACTTGTAATATCAGTAGATGTTTGAATGATGAAGAAGATTATGTTCAAAACAAAATTATGTATGTTTGAATCTTATATCAGGAAAAGACATAGATGTTCACATATAATTGTTACAATATACTTCTTTTTTTCTGAGACATTGTAGCATTTTTTTTCAATGCACACAAGAGAGTTCTTTACAAACACATTGGTATATTCTTCACATATGATAATATAATGCATACATACACGCAAATTCCCATATGTATAAAACGCAAATATAATAAAGTCTATGACACATTCACACATACATCATGTAAAAGTGATTTGTGCATGTATTCGTAGTATTTTTATGTGGCTTTCGTATATTTTATCTTTTAGTTCTCGAAAATATATAAAATAGATCTGATACTCATATTGATAATGAAAAATCAATATATTTTAATGTATTTGAAAGAAAAATTTTACATATATTTATATATAATCTTTATTAGAGCCTAGACAGATATTATAAATAGATAAATATACACAAAACAAAAGCATTGAATAATCTTCATTTCATATAATAATCACATTTAAGTATTGGACAATCACCAAGTGTATCTATTGGTAAATAATCATAATAGAGTGTATAAGTTGGAAATAATTGATTATATGTGCCATCTACATATGCACCTATATAGGAATAATTTTCAAGTGAACGCATCGGATCTAGAAGAGCATTATGTGAACGGATGTTTTCACGAAATATACTGACAGATCGCGTAGCTAAATCTGTTTTATCAATAATCAATTTTGATAGAGCATATATACTTATATGATCAGGTACAGTAATATATATATGACCTCGATATCCATTGTAGGAATCGAATGTGATAAAACGAAATTGAACAGTAACATATCTATATACAAACTCGAGAGAATATAGCATATCTTAGACTGTATTCAAATTACCTAGTATAATTTAATTGTAAAGATATATTGATTTTTTGCTGGAATTCCTTTGGTGAATTTTTCACAAGAACAATTTCTTTTGGTTTTGATACAGGTAATGATGTTATGTGTCGTAAAATACCATTATCAAATTTTTCATCTAATATTGTTTGATACTCAATTAAACCTTCGATTTCAAATAATTTTGTAAGAACAAAAAAATCTTGTACCGACATTTCAGGCAATTGATCTTTAATGACTATGAATAAAAAATAAGATTTCATTTGAATATAAACAATAACATTAAAAAATTGGTTTTCTAATTACTAAGTCGAAATTCTTCATATGATAAACGACCGGAATGTCGTTTATCGAGTAAGCGACAAACAGCAAGTAATTTTGTTTTGCGACCTAATAACAATGTATTAATACGTTCACATACAGTGTTTAATTGTTCAGGAGAAGCAAATATAGTTTTTGTTACTTTTGTTAAACGTTCCTATATTAGAAAAAAATGAGCAATAATATTTTTCTTATTATGAAAATCTTTACAAATTCTTTTTCACGAAGAGTTTTTATTTTCTTTTTCTTCTTCGTTTTCTTATCGACTGTCTCTTCATTTTGTTCAAGTTGAAGAGATTGAATTAATGATATTGTTATTGGTGACAATTGTTTACTATTGGTCGTTTCATCTAGTGATGATTCTACATCAAAAGCTTCAGTAGTTTCTATCTGTCGTTGTTGTTGTTGTCGTTGTTCTTCATCGAGAGTCTCCATTTTACAGCCAAGAAGAACAGAAAGAAAAAAAAACAATTGATGATGTTATTTAGTGGCATCTTACTATGGACATAAGAATGCATGATTTGCATGTCGTATCAATTTCAATAGTGTAAAGAGCAATGTAATGTGAGACTTTTTTATAAATTACATTCAAACCGACGATTAGAACAAATATACAACAGTGAAAAATTCATTCATCCAATAGATCATCTATTTTTTTCAAGCTTACAATATTTGTTGACTAACATAATTCAAAGTAATGACTGATTATTGATTTAAGAAAGTTTATTAATGCATTGGCACATATGATTTGTGAAAATGTTTTCTTCAACTCAAAAAAATGTTCTTATGACATCCAACTAATAGAAATTATTAAGTTATTGAACATTGTACGATGATATAAAAATTTCAATTGATCAGATTGGTATGGACAGTTCTATCGCCCACTCACACATGGGAAGGATTCGAATATTAAAGTGAACAAAGCTAACAAGGGAACCTCTTTAGTGGTCAAATCGCTTTTCACTTGACACAATGTTTATTTTATGAGTACTAGTGAGTAATGAAAAAGTCTAGAAAGGTTTGATTTTCTAGATCTTCGTTGTTCATGTACTAAAAATTTGTTGGATTTTAAAAAAGTCTGTGTTTCATCTTAGATTAGCTGGAAAATCGACTTTGACTGTTTGACTTAGAACTTCGCACGAAGTTCTTAATGAGATTCGTTGATTATGTTACCTTTAGCTTTTCTAGTATTTCATTTCTGAAAATGTAAGTACATGAACCACATTTCCTTTTATTTTATTGAGAACTTTTTTCGTGCAAAACTTGAAGTTACAACACAAATATTGATTTTCATTGTGACCTGAGGACGATCATAGCTTTCTCTTGAAAAACTCACTCAAATTTCGATATTTCAAAAACGAACATCCGTCAAACCAAACCATTCTAGACTTTCCTATTACTCATTAGTACTGATCAAACGAAGATCGTCTCGGTAGAAAAGCGACTTGACACCTAGAGAGGTTCTCTAATAAATATATCATTGAAACGAGAACGATTGATATTATTTGATATAGGAACGTTTTTTATTCGTGAACACCATTAAGTGCTGTGAACACGTGAAATTTTTCTTAGAATGGACAAATCGAAAATAAATCTGCGTAAAGATACTAGTGGAATACATCATCAAACAAGAATTGATCAGTAGAAAATGAAATCTTCAATTAGTTATTAATCGATTGGATACGAAGTACTCTTTCAATATATAATCTTCGTACAAATGTTAGATATTTATGAAACACGATAAAGCGTTCAAAAGCCATCTCTGTCTCGTAACTGAACTCGTATACAGTGTATTTTGCTTATTTGTGTTGGTAATTTTCGTATACAAAAATGACGCCTCCGGACAAAATTCAACAAGCTACCCTGAGCACGCCCATTTCGAGTGCAGTTTGATTAGACCATCAAATATTTTGTACTGGTTTTGCTCATAAATATGCCCATGTTTGAAATTAACATCTAATTATGAACAAAACGGTGTACTTAGTTGATCAAAACTTCAACTTCTATTTGTCTCAAAAACTTCTTAGCTTGAAAAAATTTTTAAAATATTTTTCTTTGGATTCTGATGAAAAATACATCAGTTGATAGAAAATCCAATACTGCTGACAACAAACAGTCAGTTGCTTTTTATTGTTTTTCTTTCATCCTGCTTCGTTTTTCGAGAAAAGAATGAAATTACGTAATGAACACTATTTTTAGTTTGTTAGCCGATGCAGTTATACTTATTAAGAAATAGACTGATATTTTGAAAGCTTGTTAAAAACTAAACCATCTTTATAGAGAAAATTTAGTTTTATAGCATTTCGTTTCGTCGTAACATACCATATTTTCAGCTCAGCTAAAAAACTATGCCAGTTTTCGAAATTTCGTAACGACCAATATTATCTAAAGAGCCCAAGTCAAAGGAAAATCAATGAAACATTTTACTGGCAGTAGTTCTAAATAATTTTCATCTATAATAAAAGTTTCAAATGATTGACTTTTGCCATTGACGAGAAATAGATGTTACAATATGAAAAAATGTAATTCCTTAAAGATTGGTCACATCGAGATGCATTTCTTTTAATATCTGCATCGCTTCAGCACAGCAGATTAATTTCCTAATGTCAAGAAATGGCATCTATTTAAATTTCTTTCATATATTTTTAACTGCGTAATTTTTGCAAAATAAGCTTTTTCTTCCAAACGATGAAGACCCAAACACAGTTAGAAATTAGTCAATTACTTTCTGTCCTTATCTATGGAGGCTTGTTCAACTAGCATAACAATTTCTTCTATGATGAATGCAAATTGTAATTTATTTATTTCTAAAAAATCATGTTGGCGGGCTTTTATTTTTTTTTCAAGATAACAAAAAATAGTGTGTACTGCTAATAATGAAAGTCACACTGATAGAATGTTGTTTTTTTTTTTTGCTAAAAATTTTAAACGATTCCGGTCGTCACGTTGTGTCCAAAAGAAAGAAGCAAGCAAAGAAACAGAAGTGAACGATGATTGAACTTTTGTATGAGTTTTTGACGAACGAGTCTTAGAACTGTCGATCCATGAAATTGTTCTCAAACCTGTCCTTCACAATGTTCAGTTCTTCTAACAAACGAATGAGTTTGTCGTATGCATTTCTGCCTTGTCGGACTATTTTATATTTGATGTATTGGAAGAAAAATGTGCGTTTATAGAACGTGAATGAATCGCTTTCAATTAGACTATTCGAATCTATATACAAGGATCAAATAATAAAAATGCAATAAAACTTCTCAACTGTGAGCATCATCGAGATCATTCAAACATGTTCACATAAAGAGGTGTCCACTTTAGAAAGTTGAAGTATGATTTGCTGTGAAATGAAGGAAAGGTTCTAGAAAATCTGCATCTATATTTGTCATAGATAAAGGCTAGGCTACCTATTCACTTTTGTTCATTTATTTTCAGCTGAACGATTTAAATTGAAAAATTTCTCACATACAATATAAAATCTAATCGTTTTTGAAAATAATCTTCTGATATTATTTGTCTTTTCGCGTTTTAACTAATATTTGTTGTGGACTGACACTTTTGAATGTTCGTCTAACATTTTGATCTATTTCATAATCCTTTAAATATTCTGTTTTATGCTTTAGAATACTTGATACAAAAGTGAGTAAGATATTTTATGTTTGATTCAATTTATGCTGTAATAAATCGTTACTATCTTTATTATCATGAATTAATACTTTTTTCCTTGTCAAGTAAGCTCGTGTCATGATGCCATTCTTCGCTTTACACGCAGCACAGCGGTCAAATCATATACAAAATGCATTTACTCCTAGTATATACCAAAAAGGTAACAGAAAAGAGAAACAGGTAAAAAAACAAGTTCAAATTAGAAAGGTTATCATAGCAAAAGAAACAGCAAAAAAAGTGTTCCCTGCCCAGGCGAAGGGGATATTCATATTAGAGAGAAAGTCACTTACACCAAAAACCGCTTCGTCGGATTCGAGACTGTTCATAATTAGAAGGTGTTCACTAGGAGAGATTTTACTGTATATGCAGACTTTAGTAATTGCTTCCAAGGACAATTTTCACATGAATAGAATAAATAATTTTGTTTCCGATAAATTAAATAACTGAGTTTATTATATATCAACAATGTTTTTATATCCCATGTTAATATGAATACTTCAACATAGCATCACGTTCTCTTTTTAACTTTTCAGTCTGCGCTAATATTTCTAATCATCACATGTCTACATAATTCTGCATATGTATGTCGATATGTTTAAAACCATGTAAAAAAAAAATATGCTGATAAATGTTTTTTTCTTCTTTTCGTAACGTGGCTTATTGTTCTTACTATCGAAAAGCAAAAGACACGAACATGTGCATTTTAAAAAAATGCCAAAAAAGCAAAGAAATAGGATAGAAAAAAAAAGCAGACACATCTGTTGCTACTTTATTTTATTTTTAGTAGTATAAAAATGGTTATGCGAGAGGAAGAAATGAAATAAGACAAAAGAGAAATGTATCAGATAACGACTTTGGTTTAGTCCTTTAATCATATATGATTTTAATGATTTAAAATATCTATTCGGCACGTTTATACCAGCGACGAGCTGTGACATCACCAGCTTTCATGTCCTAGAAAATATATAAGAAAATAAAATATATTTTATTTACTAAATAAATAACAAGAAAAAACATACAATTTGTTGTTGTCCTTGATCATCAACATAACGTACGATTGTTGATTCTTTACCATGCTTATCCCGCATTGTATGAACCCATTTATCATTTTCAAATTTGATAACAGACTATTGAAATAAACAAAAAAAGAAGAAAGGATACTCTTTACATTCTTTTAGATAGCATAATCAACTAACTTTAACATTTTCACCATCGAGACGAGTTTCATCGAATTCAACACCAGGTGTAAAGTCATAATGTGCCGATTTAAGTGTTGATTCACTTTTGAATGACCATTTACCGTCGTGTTCTCGAATGATTAATTTTGGTTTAATTAATTTAGCTGATTGACGGAGAGCAAAACCAACACCCTTTTAGAAAAGAAATAAATATTCAATATCTAATTATTCAAAATAAGAAAATCTGCTTACTATCTCTTTCATATAATCATCGAAATGTTCACCATCAACATATTCCCATGTACCTTTAAGTTTTTCAATACCGCTGGTAGCTGCCATGTTGTTTTAATGAATAGTCTAAAAAAAACAGATTTGAATGTGAATATATTACTATCAACATAAATTTCACAATGAACTTACTGAATCAACAAGAAAAGTTATGCTTGCAAATATGAAAAGACGAGGTAATGAGTGAATGAAAGAATATAGCCACGTCTTATTTTATATATAGTGATATCTTCTATGAGAGAATAAGAGAAGGAGAGAGAGAGACAGAGAAAGAAAATGAAATACCAATCGTGTTGTATAGAAGCATTT